TCCACACTGGCCCCGTCCTCGCACAATGGCTGGGGTCGACATCCACTTATTTTAGGGAGATGCTATTTTCCCTATTATTACTCTTGTTTACACACTTACATATTTCTCTTCTATGTCTTACTATTTACAACAGTTTCCTCTATATCCTAAATCTGCGGACGACGGGCTAAATTGCCGGTTTTAGATTCACTGCTTACATCGTAGGGGGGGGGGGGGACAGAGCCACGTGACAGCAGCAGATCGTAGTGAGAAGCCAATCGGACACCTCATCCATGCAATGGATGGCGCTACTTCTGTTGACGCTTTCTCGCAAGTGTTGAGGCAAGGGATGAGTTAGAATATCGCGCTCTCACGGTGACATTCAACCAGAACGCGTCCGAATACACAGAGGCCTGAGGACAAGTACCCTTGCTCGACCCTTCCGCGCGCACGCGATCGCCATAACTCCCTCAAGTTGTTGTTCTCATGCTTAGTGTGAGCAGAGCGGAGTTCCTGGGCATCCCCACCCCCCCCAAACGGTTGCTGACGTGGCCATAGGGCTTTGAAGCATTCGTATGTCGATAGAAGCGCCCGTTGCCCTCGTACCAGAAACTGTTTCGGCACTGAAGGTACTACATGCATGGCGTTCGTCACTGCAGTGTTGCGCGGATTGGCATGAGAATTTGCAGCCTTCTGAGGGGATGAGGGGAGGTTCGATTCTCACGTCGCGGCACACCTCAACAAGCATTTGTCGCAGTCACCTCACCGCACCCTCGCTCGTGGCGCATGCAAACCAAAGCCTCCTCTTGACGGTCACATGGCATGGTCGGCGGCCTCCGAAAGCGCACCGCAATCGCAGTGCAGTGATGGTGACGGTCCTTTTGGCAGAACCATACTCCAGGGCACAACGTGCGTCCACCATAACCCTGTTTGTTACACTTAAACCCTTTGGCTTGATGGGGAGACGGGTCAACCAGTTAGATGCGCCGCGGTTTCGCGTGGCCATACTCAGTCTTCTTTTTAATATCCGAAGTAATTAAGAGGTTAGTCTTGAAGTTGTGCCCACTGCTTTGTTTCTCTATCTTTTAATTTCCATTCGAATGTGCCTTGCTGTGTGTTGGTACAGCTAAGATGTGTCTGGTCATCTTGCGTATTACTGGCCTGAGGTAGGCTGGCTGAGAGCCTGACCAGCAGTTTGCCGACCAAATCACCCACTGGCCCGCTACCCCTTTTCCCACACGGCGTTTGTTATGCACGAGTCCACAGCCCTCGGCACACGAGTTGAGAGGTAAGTGGCTCTATCGTTGGCAGTGGGATTTTTACACATGAAGTGCTGGGAGCAGGTGACTTGTAAGTCGACTTCCTCAAGTGGTGAAAGTAAAGGCATCCGATGTTAGGTATAGTTCGCATTAAGAAGTTCCACTTGTGTGAACCGATGTGGAGGCGGTATATTGCCTAAATGAGTGCGACTTTCTCGCCAGCCTCTCATCATCCCCTTCTCCCATTCATCCAAGGCCTTGTGCTAGAGATTCGCCCTGAGCGGCTGGATTTGACGCAACTGACCACAAGTGTGTTTACACCGCCGGCCTTCCTATAGTACGTTTGTTTCCCCGGAAGGCTTTGTCTGGCCTTGTCGAGATATTCCGGTTTTACAATTAAAAACGATTTGGCGGCATTCAAGAAAATACCTTGTGGAGGGCCCATGTGTGCTCAATGACGATTCACACACTTCATATGTTCTCCGTTTGCCCTGCTTCGGTCAGTCGTCGGGCATAGCCAACGTGCTATTATATGTTGTTGTGTGGTCAATTATTGTTTGGCAGCTGAGGAAGGACCGATGGCCGTACATGCGCACCATGGAAATGGGTCACCTGTGTTGTGCCTCGCTGCAAAGCTATCATTAACACCAGGGATTTACGCGCACCTACTTGGCCGACTATGTGGAGCATCTGCTGGGTTGTTGTAGCGCGGTCTTAATGGTATTGTGCAGAGGGCTTAGGGCATTTCGACCTCATATTCGTGACTTGTTGCCCTACGGATGTGATGATTGTTGAAGGCACGTTGTAGCATCCCCACAGGAGTACGCGCTGACAAGTCCGGCTACTTCAATACCGATGCGCATTCTCACCTGGCGTGGAATGCTGGCCTAACACCCCTCGCCCTGTGACCCCTGCACACACCGGAAATTACGTTCCCACGGCCTTGTCTAACCACCGCTCGTCTCCGACACAGTAATGATTGCCTGCGGATGACTTCGTCGCAAGACCTTGTCTACGATACCATGACCAATGGGGAGGCCTCCGGCTTCTTGTCAAGCGGCAATTAAAGACAAGCTTCCTAGCCCCGAGGCACACTCCACCGGCTGGTGCAAGCCTGCTTTTACCCGTGTTGCAACACGTTTGCTCAGCAGAGATGCAATGGCTTTGCAACAAGGTCACTTTGACCAGCCCCCCTGACCCACAACTTGAATGCGCGGCTCAGAGGGTTCTTCCATGCCTTTGCGTCGCAGTGCCAGAAGCGTCCAGATGCACCATGTGTGTTGCAAATGATGTGTTATTCATCTTTCGCCGGTAATCGCTCAAAGATCTCCGGAGTGGGGGAGTAAATCTCCACTAAACATCGTTCCCGCCGCCGCTTCCTTTGCAGGCGGGTGCTTTTCAATGAGCAACCGACGGGTGTTTTCATTGTAAGGGTAATGTACCCTGTTGTTCATTTGATGTTAGGACCCCTACTGCCTTGTCACTGTGCCTTGTTTCATTAGGGACTGGCAAATTCCTTGATTGCCATCTCTTGTTGCTGTGTTGCAATGCTTCTGGAGCTCTTTCCGTAGGTTTTTGCATGCTTTAACCGCCGAGTCCATAACATCTACTTTCCATCGCCCATCCGCCTTTTCATAGCCTTACATAATCTGCGGTCTTGGATTTTTGTATGTGTTCGTTGGCATATGAGAGAGGGAGAATAGCGTGTTTTTACCGAGCAATCCGGGTTGGAGAAGCTGCGTTGGGACTCTTTAATTACGGAATTCGATTCCTAAGTACGTCTTTCGTTGCGTTGCATTTTGGATGCGGACACCTAGACTTGCTTGGCCGCCCCGACCGCCCCGCAACACGCCGTCAACGCATCTTCCATCCAGACTACCTACGACGCTGTTCCTTGCCCGAATGACTGTCTGCACGTTTCACACACAAACTCCGGAACATATTTCGCCAGGCAATAACGGGTCGGAGACAGAGTTCCTTACACCTGGGGATTAACGGCCTTGTTGACAGATAGTGCCACCTGTACTATTATTTGAGATCTACTATCTATCTGTCTCGTTCTAGATTCGGAACACTGGCTTGGTGGGACTCTGTTTTGAATTGCTGCCACCAGCTTGACACGATGTCGAAATATCTTCACTCTTGTACATATGCAATGAGAGCCAGCCGTTTCGTGTACGTACACAAGCACAGCACATGCGGCCCGACACGTCCGGCATTTTGATAATTGGTTGAGGTGAGCGATGCTGCAGAATTAGGCGACATATGGGGGGGGGGTGAGATAGTACCGCCCGGGGCGCCCCTGTTCGCGTGCTTACGGCAGGGAGGGATCTGGCATATCCGCGAGGCGTGACCGGTGTTACTTTCACCCAAGGGCTGATTAGTCCCTTGCAGATTCCCCGAGAGCTGGTACCATACACCAAGTGACGAGACAGGGCCGAGAACGAAACTAAACAAACAAAGAGACAGAGGGAAAAGGTGTGACAAGGTCAAGGCGTTGATAACACAGCTGTCAGGTCTTATCAGTGATTCCATCAAAAGTCCGCCGCGCACGCGCAGTTCAA